GCTTCCTAAAAATGGCGGATGATCGGACAGGTTCGAGGTTGCTGTGCCAATCGATAGCAATCGATGAACGGTTTTTGTGTGGTTATCGATTGATTATCGATTGACCGATACCAATCAATACCAATTAACTAATTTTATCGATTGATATCGATTGATCGATTGGTTTTTCGATCATCGATTTCCATCGATTGCATACCCCGGGAGACATAAATTTGATGAGTTTCAACTAATAAAACCTTTTTAAAAAATAGGAGGTTTTACGCAGACTGTTGGCAAACATTTGCTTTCTTTTTGCGCCCTGACATTTCAGTAGAGGGGAAATCATAACATGATAAGATAATAAGGTGTGGATGGAGAATAATAACTGTCATCTGGCGACTTTAAAATTATAAAGGGGCCATTTGTTGGAAGCCAACTGTTCACAACTTGGCAGTAGATATTGTCCAATTAAGTCAGCTCCATTCTCTGACTGAGGTTCCCAGCATGAACCCACTACGCTTTCGAGGAGACTAAGGATCTTTGATGCAGTACCGGTGCTATTCTGATTCCATTCAATCAGATCCTGGGCCTGCTTCCTGAGTAGGATGGATAAGAGATGATAACTGATGAGCTGATAGCGGCCTTTATGACATGCCAGCCGACCGATCTAATTATTGTGTAAACAAGCCGATCTGTTGGCTGGCTGTTGATGACCAGAGGTTATCACTACTTCACGCAAGTCAGTACCGGCTCTACACTAATGAGGCACACATCCAGATCTAAATAGAGACTCTAAAGCGAAAAGATATATGGTATAAATAAGTATACTGGCAATACAAACAATGTGGTTAAACGTTTTAAATAGTCAGCATAGACCCCGTCCACACTAGAGAAATTTGAAAAAGGAGGTTTTACTCTGAAAGCTATACATATATAGCACATCAAATGTTTTCCTTCCACAGTAAGCCGCAGGAATTTCTACTGTAAATACGCAACAATATATATATTAATCGCCGGTCATTTTGGATTTGTGTTTGAGGAAAAAACTCAGGCAGGAAAATCACATGATTATCGTGAATAAATCGTTTTCAAAAAGCTCCGTTTTCAGGCAAAATGTTTCAGTCCAAACGAAATCGAAAAGCCGGCGTTCAGAGCAGTTGACCGGCGCAATTCCTCCGGTTTAGAGAACGTTTTCGAAAGGCTTCATTTTCTTGACGGATTAGTGTGGACGGTAGGCCTAATCGTAGAAATAAAGCTACGCTTTCAAATTTTTCCGGTGTAGTGTGGACGCTTCCTTAATTAAAACAGACATTCAAATTCGCAAAGCAAACCTCACACCTCATTCTATCCAAAGTTAAGGTTCACACACCTACGTGGTACCGAACAATTGTAGAAACAGAAAAAATAGTTACCACGCGCTCCACTTTAAGCTTTTGTCCTCCCACAGAGCTTCATGGGCACAAGGTCATCAAACTGAAGGTAAGCCGACAAAGGCAAACATCGACAAGATGGATTAGGTAGTTGTTCTCCGGCAGAATGTGCACGGTGCAAGTTAAGCGGGAAACTCTCGGCATGAAAGAAATTATTGGAACCGACTTCAACGCCAGTAATTCTTATCAAAATAAGACTGCCGCAAAAGTTTGTAAACATCGCAGGATGCTTCGCTGTTTATAGTTAAGCTGGGCTAAATATACCGTTGTAAAGATTCTTGTTCTGTTGTTCAGTCCGTGATGTCTTTGTACACGCTACAGCTTTTAATATTGTTCGCTTATTTGATTACGTGCTTCAGTGCTTCCAAAACCTTTTAAGCAAAGACCAATAGTAATATTAACAAAGCAAATTTTCTGATTCTATTATAACACTCTGTTTGCAAACATTTTGGAGTTTGTTGGTTTTCTGATTACTTCCAGCCGTGTTCTGGAAGACTTTACTGAACGAGGAATAAAAATAGCCTTTAATAACCGTTATCTTACTTCTGAGCAGTTAAGTATGCTTTGATTATGTCGCCATCAATCAAGAATTTTCGAATGATCAGAAGTTGGGGTAATTTCAGCATTACTTTAAAATATGTTGGCTCCGGTGAAACAGTTGCAACTCAGGAGGGACATGGAAAGCAAAACGTGTCAGCTCTATTGCTATTTCGATACGTTCTCACAAACAGATGAATTACGGTTGCTTCGATATAAAAGGTTACATAGCTTGTGTCAACCAAGGCTGAACCTTTCGAGATTCATTGCCTCAGGGGAATCTTGCTTCTGATAGGGCACAAGAAAGAATTTTCATGAACCAACGTTCGCATCCGTTCCAGCCGTGCTTCAATCTGTGCCTGGGTGAAGTGCGGAGCAGAACAGCAATGCGCCGTCTGTTGAGAATTTTTATTATTCTGTTTTCTTTCTGGACCATTTCGTCATCTGCAGGTAAGTTCTTGTTGACTCTCTTGAAGACCGTCAATTCCGGTTGTGGTAAATTAAATATGACGGAAAACGTCACTTCAAAGCAGGCGGTCAGCAGGATAAGTAACGGTAAATACGATCATTTATTTGCGAATTTGCGAACTATGATCAAGCATCACTTCAGTCACTGAAGCTTCTATTCTTTATAGTGTTTCGTTCTCAGCCCTTCGTGTCTTATAAAACCTGCACAGAAATCTTCCTCAGTGGGGTGTTACCGTGCGAAAAATATCGTCACGTCCAAATGCCATTATAATATTGTGAAACCCTTACCTATACATGTACTTTTTAATGTCTCCATGGTTATTAAAAATAAGTGAATTGGAAGGTTTTACCCTGATTGTCGAATCGCAATGAGCAGACCAAGTAAATATGTTACCGTTTCAATTCTGCTAATACGTAATGAACATTGAAAATATCCAAAAGAAGTTGTGGACTGGCAAAAAATAACTGAAAACGGTTCGAAAATGACTGCGAGGCAACTCTCTGAACAAAATGTAGCTGCATGTAAAATGTACCTACTCACACTGTTTCTAATGTATCTGTGATCTTGAATTCGAATGCACTGGTTTATTGTTCGACACTGATTAATATTTCGCCGCAATTGATATGGTCGATACAATTATTTAATCTGAACTTCCTTGAATTATTAGACATGTAAAACGTACGTAATAGTCTAGACACAGACTTACCGCATGAGATAGTGGTCATTTGTATCCAAAATGGTACGGGAATGGCGTCTTTAAGACTTGGGCATGCACAAAAGATTGTCTGCAACATATGTTATCGTTTTTCGAGAATTGGCCACTGTACATTTCTTTAGCGCGAGTTCATCATTCTATGGCTTCAGTACTCGTGCACTTAAAAATCACCCTTTCAATCGACTTTCAGATTTGGTGTGAAATAAAGGGGCTTTGTAAGGATGTCCAGTAAAGTAAACGAGAGTGATTTTAAAGCCAGACGTTTGCAATCCTAAATTCTTTGATTACCCACTTTCTGTATCATCAGGGCTACGTCTATTAAATTTGTTCAGTAATTTATTTTATCCAATTATTCAGTTCACAATTTTACAAATGTGAAATGTAAATTTTATGAATGTTCAGTTCACAAACACGCCATGTTTGTTATATGTTAAAATACTAGCCATGAAGGAAAATCATTGAAACAGTCTTTTGTTTGCTGAAGGTAGAGGCTTAATACACTGGCAAATAAGCAAACAAAAGAACAGTTTATTCCACGACAAACAGTTTTTCTTAAAACGAGTTAGAGAAAGCAAACGATCCATGTCCTGTTTACATCACATTGATAATCTTTGCCATAAAAAAAGCAAACATATGGATAGATCAATTAAGGATTGAATAAAATCGTTTTCAGTCAACAAGTCAATCTTAGTAATGCTTGAGTGAAAAGTTTCTAAATGTGTATATTGAATAAAATTGTCATCTTGTTCTATTTGGTTTTACAAGATGAGAAACTGAACGAAGTGACAGATGATGACGAAAAGAGGCTGTTGACATTTTTGTTTGCTAAATACGACCCAGAACTCCATCCTGTGTTAAAGAAAACCGACACAGTTCAAGTAAAGTTTGGCATTTCGCTACATCAGATAATCGAAGTGGTAAGTACAAGGTCGTTTAAAAAAAACATGTACGTTTTAGCTTCGTATCGGTAACCCCGAACAATGGCGTGGAGCGAAGCGTGGTAGCAGAGTGTGTTTATTATGCCTTTGCAAAGCCGCCTGCAGAAATCAAGGCTTAAAACCGTAGTCTTTGTTGAATGTTGAACTGTTAAGGGGTTGAATTGAGAGTGAGGATCTGAATTTCAAATCGGATGAAGTATGCAGTGCCATTCATTACAATGCGAACGCCGTTTATAATTACTCAAGTTACGTTGGTCTTCTTGAAATTCTTTCAGTACTTTATTATCATGCAGAATAGTTTAATTTAGCATTCCCAAGGTCATTTTTGTCAATTGGTCTGAACAAGGGGCTTTTGTAGAGGTTTTAACTAATTGCGCTGTCAGCGAGCACACCGTGAAAGTAGCTTCCTCTAGAGGCTTATTTGAGTCTTTTCTTCTCAGTTACCAAACCGAATTCTTAAACGTATTGACATGTATTGAAGATCAATATTTGAAAACGTTTTGATGCTAAATCAGCCGGTGACTCTTTTCGGTTGAAAAATGTAAACAATGTAAAGCAATAAACTGTCTCGGCTACTCTTGGTAGGAGCTCCACAGTTCTTTGTTTGGTAAATACCTCTGATGACTGTATACGCGCAAGTCAAGTCAAAAAACAATTCTTTCAACATATATATTGAGTCTGGAGTCAGTAATTAAATTGGAATTAATAAAATGAACGTGACCTGTCCCTTTAAATGCAGTTTAATTTAAGTGCCGTTGAGTAATTAAGTTTATCGGTCTATTTTTGAAATGGTACTCGAATTGTCGTATTTGACCGGGGTAGTCTGGACAACATGTTTCTGGCACCCAGTATTTTTCTTTTTTTTTTTTATCTCTTTTATTTATTTTTTTTTAGGACTTCAAGAATCAAATTGTCAAGAGCAGCGTTTGGATTAGACAGGTTTGTTTCTGGCCACGTTTTCCAGTAGGAATGGTAACTCTTGTGCCTTACTGACAATTTCACAAACCAACAAAGCTGATATGAAGACATGATTGATCATCGCAGTTATACACACAACTTAAGCAGTTGTGAAATTAAAGCTTGAAAAATTCAGGCCTGAACGGGATTCGAACCCATGACCTCTGCGATATCGGTGCTCTACCAACTGAGCTATCAAGCCAACTGGGAGCTGGTCACATTATGGGTTCGTAATATACCCGTAGATGGTGGAGAATGCAAGTGAATATATGAAAGATCATATATTTGAAATGCGCAGAAAGATATGAAGACATGATTGATCATCGCAGTTATACACACAACTTAATTGTCTTCATATCTTTCTCCACAGTTCAAATATATGATATTTCATATATTCACTTGCATAGCTGATATGAGTTGAACAACAACTCAGTTCCTACGTAAAAATAGGTCTAATGTTATAATTATTGTGACTCTTGTAGTTTATGCATGGTACAAATAGTTGCTGATGGAGATTAAGTATCATTTTAATAAAAATTATCTACTACTCGCAAAGAGTAGGTGCGGAACAAAATATTTGATCAAAATTTAGTTTATTGGAAAAGCAGTGATCAAATTTGTGGACACAGGAGCAAGTAAATTATCAGCTCTTAATAGCATTCAACCCTATTGCTGGTGTCGGTATCTATATAAGTTAAACCTCCCACATAAATGGCAGTGGAATGTTGAATGTGTCGAATGTTGATATCGAATAGCCCCGAATTTCGATAGATTAAAATTCATTCCAAAACACTAGACCTCAGCTTGAGGCTCCGGGGAATAAACAACACAAACGTTATCTCTGTAGTTATTCCCCGGAGCCACGTGCTGAGGTCTGTTGTTTTAGGCTGAATTTAATACGTATATCGAAATTAGTCTATTGAATTGTTGGATTCTCGATGGAAAGTTAAGCTCCCGTTAAAGGAAACAAAAAGCAATCCGTTTCTGGGGCGAACAAAAGTTCGTCTTCTAGAGGGCCACACGTTCATAAGTTTTATATTTATAGTTAAACTCTTTGATAAGGTTTGTTTGGTTGATTGATTGATTGATCGATCGATCGATCGATCTTCCCCTGGGAGGTACGAATTCCAAATCTTTTATCGATGAATGATAAGTGACAATGCTTGGCCTAGACGTTAGACGATTAATTAAAAATAAATTGTTCTATACCTGGATTTTTTTTCCTAACAGTGTCGGTGCTCTCTCATTGGCCACCTCGAGGTCGCACAACATCTAGCATTGAGACTGTTTCCCGCCAAAAATTTTTGAGCGGGAAACATAGCAAAATCTATTGTGTCAGAGGGAAATTGTACGTTGTTACCCACAGTACATAGGAAGCTTAAGCACAGACGTTTCCCCCACCTCCCGCCTTACCAATGAGTTGAAAAGCTCTCCGTCTCGTTTCTAACGAAAGATCGATAACTCTCTCAAAGAAGAGGAAGTTTGACTTGCAAAAACGCCCGCGCTTAAGCTTCCCATGGCAAATGACTATTGCCGTACGCGTGAATCTACTTATGTCTTTATTGTGCTGTAATTGTAACAAATCACTCGATGACTGACCAAGTGTTTTAATTTTTTTTGGACGCCAGTTCTTGTATACTTTAAGAGTGCTTGAAAAATTTACTCCAACGAAAGAATTTGGTTAAGGTAGGCTCAAATCAGTTTTCAGCAGGTTTCCTTAAATTTTCGAACATTTAAGGTGGCTCTCTGAGCCCCACATTGTACAGAACAAAAACGGTCATAATAAATGTAATTTGCATTAGAATTAAGGAGTTTACAAATCACTTTTAGGAATGGCACAATCCGTATTTGATGTGGAATGGTTCAAACTTTGGTGGAATTGATGCTATCAACGTGGATGCGAAAAAAGTGTGGAAACCTGACATATTCCTGTACAACAAGTGAGTGTTTGCCCCCTTTGCGATTTGAAAGTTCAGACACAAAGTTTGATTCTAACAGTGTAGAAAGTTAATCGGAGCTTTTGTTAGCAATCTCATACGTATCCTTCTTAGCGGCCTGGTGTTCACCAGTTTTATTAAATTGATGACACAACGTAAGCGGCCTTTAACTGAAAGGCTGCTCCCTTAGGTATACTCAATAGATGGGAACATGTACCCTAAAAACTATTCACTCTAAGCAGTTAACTGCGAAGAGGGGTGACCTAATATCGTCAATGCGTGGTCTGTATTCGAGATTCAAACCTCACAGTGTGCAATATCTCTTGGCAATATACTTCCCTCTCTCTCAAAAGTGGAAATGGTTATCGGTAAATATGCATTTGACTTGTACTGTGTATAAGCAGCGATATTCCTAGTCATTTTATATTATGCTACTGAGAAATCGGGATTAAGCGCCGGCTGCTCACCAACCATTACTGTCAATCTCAGAATTATAATGCCTTATTTATGTTATTTGAGGAGTAGGGATGGCGCAGTGGTGAGGGCGCTCGCCTGCCACCAATGTGGCCCAGGTTCGATTCCGGCCCGGTGCCATATGTGGGTTGAGTTTGTTGTTGGTTCTCGCTCTTCTTCGAGGGTTTTTCTCCGGGTTCTACGGTTTTCCTCCTTCCAGAAAGGCCAATCGCTCCAAATTCCAATTCGGACAGGATATTTGCCCTGCATGAATATCTGATGTAGCTTCCTCTACAAATATTGTAAATTTATTTTATGTTGTACAGTGTAGACGATTCAGATGATGGGGCCCTAGATCGATTCAAGACTAAAGTTCAGATCAAGTCAAGTGGAACACTCATGTGGATGGCGCCAAAAATCGTGTCAAGTTCCTGTAAATTTGACGTCACTTACTTTCCCTTTGACAGGCAGGTAAACTTCACAGATAAGTTCACGATCAGCAATTTAACAAATTGACGGAGGTTTTCATGCGTCTGTTTGCACCTGTTGTTCATGAATATCGTCATAACATTGTCAAAGTAGCTGTGGATCCGCAGACCACTTTGACAATGTTATGACAGAATTCATTGTCAATGACAGGACAGACGCATGGAAAACTGACGTCAATTTGTTTTTTACAATAACAAATTGTCAAATTGGTCGCTCTCGCCCGTTGGCTGGACATCGCATTAATTATAAATTCAAGTGTCTGTCCGCTTATTGACAATAAAAATCAGCCAATGATCGCATGAGCGCGCGAGAATTTCTGAAGTTATTGTAAGAAAGAAATAGCACAACTCTGAAGGAAAGTCTCCTTCGCAGCCGTTATTAGGGTCGTCACGCAACGCTTCTCCCCCATCACGTGAACTCTAAACAAAGGGAAACAAATGAGGTTCGGGGGGGGGAAGCGTTGCGCGACGACCCTAATAACGGCTGCGATGGAGACCACTCTGGAGTGAATCATTTACTCTGCATTTTCCGCATTAAAACTGTTAAAAATTCACATTAAGTCAGAAAATCACAATCCGTATTGCTATTGCTAGGTCTGTGGTATGAAGTTCGGTTCATGGACATATGACGGCTTTCGACTGGATCTTATTCCCGAGGGACATCCCGGAGGCTGCGATGGAGACATCAAGAAGTTTATCAGGCACGGCGAGTGGGACCTTATCAGCATGCCTTGTAGTCGTAACGAAGTTATATACAAGTGCTGTCCAGAGCCGTACCCTGACATCACTTACACAATGGACCTAAGAAGGCGTCACATGTTTTACTTTATCAATATGATAGCTCCCTGTTTTCTTATATCAGGTACGTCCACATTTTTCTGCAGCTGAAGGGCTACTTGAGTATAGAATACGAACATTCTCTCTTTTGCTTGAAAATACGCGAGAAGAACGCAGAGTTGCGCTCCTCTCGGATTTTCGAGTGAAAAAGAGACTGCTCGCAGTCTATCTTGAGTTATATTCCAAAAGGCTACCACGGCATGTTCCCGATACCTAGGCATGCTCTACTTCTTAAGGTAACAATTAACTCCAGTAAATTGCTTTGCAAAGTCACAAAGCTGATCAAAATGCGCGTTTTCACTGTAACTTGTTCTACATTCCGTCGGCAATAGAACACAACCTCGTTATAGAAATTAATATATTGTCAGTTCAGAATCCCATTCAAACGTACGCACAATTAATTGTTAATTTTCCAGGCTACCTAAATTTATTCTCAATTTAGAGAGATCTTTAAATTAATATGTAGTTTGTACAGTTTTATGCGCAATACATTGGATTAAAAGGTAGGAATTTTCCAGTTTGGGAATTGCTGAAAACAAATAATTCCTCTGATTGCCAAAGTGAACTCGACCTAAGACCTTGTGCAAATTTGGCAGTCCTCGAAACTATTAATTTCCATCCGACAATTTCCAAATTGGACAGCTATCTCAAGTACTAAGTGAAATAAAAGTAGATTTCGAGTCCATGGTAAGGTAATAATGGACTGATCTGAGTTCAGACGTTCATCCAAAATAAAAAATATACGGTATTGAAAAATCATTTAAAAATGAGCTGAGCCAAGTTAGCTTAACAAGCCATATTGTTTTGTCTTGATTTTTAGCTCTGACCCTGTTATCTTTTTATTTGCCACCCGAGTCTGGTGAGCGGCTTACACTTGTCATCACAAACCTTCTGGCCTTGACTGTTTTCATGTTACTCGTGGTGGAAATTATACCGGCTACCTCTGAGACCGTGCCCCTGATCTCTGTTTACTTCTATGGCAGTGTCTTTGAGGTGAGCTTTGCGGTTGTTTCTAGCCTGATTTAAGCCAGATTATACGAACCGCTTAAAGCAGAAGGACCTATCGGGCTGCCTGGTTTTTTTAACTCTTAGGTTATTTCAGGTGGCCAGTACCCTCATTACTTATGTATTAAATTGTTAAATACGTTTTGTAAACTCTCGGTAACTTAGCTCAATTTTATTTTATAGTCCATTTTATTAGTTGTAAATAAGTGGTTTTTTAAGGTTTGGTAATTTTAAGTCTTCCGTATTAGTTTTAGCTTACTACCTTGAAATTTACTACCTTCGAATTCAGTAAAGGTTCATATTTTTTTATTTATTTCGTGCTTTTGATCTTAGTTGTGAGAAGAGCCGTTTTTGCCAACTTTTAGCAAAAGCACCTAAAAATTTTCAGTCCTTACTACCCAAAACATCAAAAATTAGTCAAAAAGAGGTGGTCTGATACATGTATTGTGAACCCTCGAATGTGATTTTTTGTACTATAGTTACAGTCGTTATTTCTTGTTTTATCTCTGATACTGCTGAAAGAGCCAGTAACAAACATTTTACGAGTCATTTGAAACCGCCGTTTGATTTCTCTCAGGTGGCCTTGGCTCTAGTTGCCACTTGTCTCGTCTTGAGGTGCTATTTTAACAACCCTTCCCATACACCTGTTCCAAACTGGGTGCGTCACGTTGTGCTGGGATGGATGGCACGGCTCACCAAGGTACCCGTAAAGAAGATACTTCATGGTATTGATCCTAAAGAGTCCTCGAAGAAAGCGCGATCAACATCAACATCAACATCAACAGAAGAAAACGAAACTCCAGATCCTGAACCTGCTGTTCATAAAAAGATTCCAAATACTTCACCGAACCATTTGTCAAGCTCACAACAGCTGCATGTCAAACCCACCTCACTAAATGTACCTGGAGATATTCAGCCTCGTTTGAACCTTCTTCCAGCCATTCAGCGCATCCGAAACACGAACCATCGTCTGAGCATGCCTCCTATTTACGACAATATTCATATCGGTGGTGCCATGAATGATCTCATTTCCAGCCGGACGGCTTCCAGGATAAATCTTACCGAGTCTGCCTCGCAACATGCTATCCCCAATGTCAAGTCAACAGATGACGTCACAGGTACTGATCACGTGACCAGGACCCTCCTAGAGACTCAGGCCGCTATGTCAAAAGATGTTAGCGAGGTGGTGCGATACATTCAGGACCAGGAGATGGGTGACCTCATGAAGGAGGAGTGGCAACTCATCGCTGTTATCATCGACAAGTTCTTTCTTTGGATGTTTTTAATAATTTTGTGTGTATCTACGGTTGTCATTTTTATGCAGGCTCCAAGTTATGCTTGGAGTTAACCCTTTTTCAGTCTTTGGTTAAGAACGTATAAGCGATGACTATATATTTGGCTGAAACGCAAACAAATAAACATGCACAATTAAAGCTAAGCAGTTAGCAAGATTCGTGATTTACCTAGCATCTTTATTCTTTTCATTAACAACTAGTGCAAGTTTATTTACACTCAGGATGTTGGATCCGCTCGGACTGGCTAACAACCGGCCTTACTTATGTAAATATTCACTATATCATTAAATTCATGATGCTAAGTAATTTTGAGATTGATAGAAATCAAGTGGCCGCCGAAATTTCCCGTACAAGATTTTAGTTTGGCAGCTAACGGACATAAAATGAATTTGGACACAGCAAAGCATGTTTGGGTACAGAAACGTTTGTTTTGTTTGTCATAAATACATCACAAGGTTTAATAAAGAATTAATAAGACCCTAGCTTTAATCAATTTTGTTACATTTGTGTGCAAATGCAGCAGCTGTCGATCTATTTGCGAAGCTGTAAATATAATGGCCATGGATTGAACACATTCCATTCAGGAACTTAGGAGAGCCTGAAATCGGCAGAGAGCTGAAGTCACGAATGGCCCTACTTCCTAGTATGTAAACAATAGCTTCCATTTGGCGCGAAAATATGTTCAGATATTTGTCCGAGGACATTATCTGTTCCGAGAAGCGAACAGTTTTCCGAAAGAGTAGCTCGAGGAAAACTGTGAGCTTTGACAGAACAGATGATACTCAAAGAAATATATCCTAGCATATTTTCGCCCCAAATGGAGGTTATCGTTTTTATATCCCTCAAATATTTTTCGCAACTCACGCAGATTTGAAAATTGGGGAATATCGTTTTGGTTTATAATTGCCTTCTTTTTTGTTTTTTATTTTAAATTAGAATTGCCTAAAGTATACACTTACATCTACAATACACAAAAAAAATTTACTGATTTTACAATACACTGCTTGAACACTTTTACAATGATTACAGTACTAGTGCACTACCAAAAAATATCCTGTATTCATTATCTTACCCCTAACAATATACCATTTGCATTTAGGCGTTTAACTTTCGATACTTTGGCATTTACGGTACTTAATTGCTGATTTACTTAAGACGGCGTTAAAATGTTTTAAAGTAACGTACATCATCCCATGTTCCATAACTTATAATGAACTAGAAGTATCTTAATCACAAGACGTGTTGTTTTTGAAATATACTTGCGTTACATCGCGTTACACTATTATATACAAACAGGCAATATTCTGTTGATGTATTTATTGTTTACTGAGAGGAATAATGCCACTTTGTTAAAAGGAGTTGGTTTAGTTGGATAACATCGCTATATGTATCTCTGTAGGTCGATTTCTTTTTCCTGGCCATTGCAGATTTCTGGAATGTTTACCAAGGAGTGTAAAATGGTATAGTAAGCACGATGCTAGGTTATGTAAGACGACGTACATAATTACCTTCTTGGTGTTATACAAAAACGGACTCAATATCAATATGTTGGAAGCAGCATTCTTTTAAAACTCATTGACTGCCACACCCACAGCTACGATTTTTGGTCTTCGATATATGTCTGCATGGATTTATGAAAACAGTGTTAGACAAATCGCGTCCTGCTCAAGCAAGTTTTTCTCTCCAAGGTAGACGATATAGCTCGATATGAAAATTAAGAGAAATTTCAGTCTTTTTTTTTTCCCACTCTCTTATCTTCCTTTTCTTGCTCTTCTCTCTCTATAGTTTTTTTTTCCATCGCTCGGGGTGATTTTAAGGCCTTTACGAGTCGTGAAATCAAAGTGCGTATGAGTGATTTGGTGCAAAGTATTGCCATTACTTTGTACTTTGCACTTTGGACACGGTTTTCATAAATACAGTCATATATATCAGTGTTTTCCAGAATACAATGATGCAAGAGACCACGAACGAAAATGCTGCCGGTGTAGGTAGGATCTGTAAAAGATCTGATCAGCCAAAAACAAAAACATAACAATGAAGCAAGGCTGATTACTAGGTAGAAAGCTTAACAAGACAACGACATGATAGAGTCCAAACAGAAAGCCAAGAATTGCAACTGTGGACAGCTGTTTCTACCTGGTTGGGTCTCGTCAGCACAGTGTAGCAGCAAGAAGTAAAGAACCAGGCTGGTTGACCGATCGTCTACTAATTGCACATGGTTATGACCTCACATGAAACTCAAATTCAAATGTTTGCGAATTGGCCAATGTCACATGCAAAACGCGTGACAACGGACAATAGGCAAAATCCAGAATATCCCGTTGTTGTCGCGAGAAGGAGACTGCGGACAGACAAAACTGTCCCGTACAAAATACATGGCCAAACTATGTTAGGTAGGAGCATATCGGATTGGCTAGATAGGTAGCATATCGGATTGGCTTTCTATTGCCATAATGTTCGCAATTTTTCCTAGACTTATGTCTGGACCTCTACTAAGCGTGAAATTCCACAGTAGCAGTATGTTTAACCCATGGAGAAATAAAATATCGTCATACTCAACAAGAAAAACATGATTAAAAATCCTATTCGAAAAGCTCTGTCAAAGATGGCGGCCACCAAACTCCACTCGTCCTTTTTCTCTTGCAACTGTTCGTTTTCGGTCACAACGTTGCACAGCATTTGAACATGCTCCAATATCTTTTCCTGTGTTTTCAATAACTCCGCCATGCACCTTTGATCAAATGTGTGACCGCTGACCCCATCACCTGCGCCTGCCTCGTCGTTGTGTCGCTGATCATCATCCTCATTACTTGACAAACTTGCGTGACTGGATGCTATGTGCCAGTCCTCCACTTCAGAGACGGTCAGTCTTGGGAGGGATCCCATGTCCTCATGATGTGGAAACTTCGGGCCCGATTTGTAATTGCCATTCACAAGGTTTGAACGAGAAAGTTTTTTAACGAGGGAGTGAACACCTTTGCGAGGGACGAAGCTTAAGGCATCGAGCGAAGACGGTTCTTGCGTAATATTAGGTTTATTGTCGAGACTTTCCTTCCTTGTTTTGTTCCTCAGTAAGTCAGCAGCATGATCGTGTTCGTGTTGATCAACGGCGAACCGTTTACGTTTTTTAGGCATTTCGAATCGCAAAAACTGTGCCATCCATTTGAGGACAACAATACGGATCCACAAGGGCATATCAGACGTAGCAGGGTCGTGAAAGTGACATTTGAGTATGAAGCATGTGACGAGCAGAGCCAGTGAAACCTACAATAAGAAATTAGTGGAACCTCAGCGACAGTAGGTTGCTCGCATGTTTTAACATGCGAGCAACTCAAACATGCACAGGTGGTCGGTATGCCTGTCACAAAAACTGAAAATTATATTAAAAGCGAGTTCAAATTAAAAAAGAAAAAAAAGCAACTTCAAATACACAGGTTTTGGTAAGGTTCCAAAAAAAGTCGAGCCATCTTAGCTTTGTAAAATTTGATGAGAGCTCCTTCCAGAGCTCCATCTAAGAATTGCAAAATGTTTTATAACCAGCCTCCTTGAACTTGATTGACATACCTCGAAAAGGGTACCGCTAAAGTAAATGGATATGACTGGGATGACTTCAGAGGTTGATGGCATGATGTCTGCTACAAGAAGCATGAATACGGTCATGGCCAGTAGGTTAGTTATTACCAATGTGATGCGTTCACCGGACTCTGGAGGCAGGTAAAATGCTGTCACGGTCAAAACTAAAACGAAAAAAGTTCAAGGTGAAAAATATGTCACTGTCAACGGAATTGCTAAATTTTGTTATCATTCGATGCATTTTTTCTTCCTTTTCATTGGCCGAAAGCCCACCACGTGATCTGCCCAAAAACAATGGTCTGTTCATGCATAGTACTGTCAAATTGTGTTTTGCTACAAAAAATATCTGCTCATGCGTAATTGTAACCACGTTCTTGTATGAAAAATGGCGGATCGCCTCCCTAGGCTGCCAGAGAGTGATTTTAATATGGAAACAAACTTGGTGTTCAAATGATAAAAAAACTCGGTTCTCGCAAAATATTCGGCTTCGGCAAATAATTGATCTGCAAGACATTGACAAATCATGCACAATATTCTGTTCGACCTCGTCCAATAATTGTTAAAGATTCGCATACGAAGCTAGTTAAAACTGTTGGAGCGATCTGTGCTCATAGTTCTTTAAAAACGTTTAAAACAGATCTAAAAAGTAAAATTGTCTCTAAATTTTCGATCGCCTTCTGCGGTCTTCTTCAGAGAATGACGATTTCGCGCGATTCACAGAATTTTAATAAGTTGGGACGTTATTGTTCGTTGCTCCCTAAGGAGGCAACCAGTGACACGTAAACCCTTGGGAAGGGTGCTCTTTCATTTACGGAGGTTTTGTCTAAGAAAGAGTGCAAGGATTCCAGAAACAGTCTCTTGCCGGCTTGCCGCTCACACCTGTTTCAAGAATGTTGGCGTAACTAGGATGTATATCGTGGCCGGTTTCCGCATGCTGTTTAATTGCGGAATTGACAATTTTACTTTTTAGATCTGTTTTAAACGTTTTTAAAGAAGCTAGTTAAATTACGTTATATTTTTACTCGCTAACTTCTTTTATTGTAAGCTCTAACAATGAAACGGGACAAGTGCAAAAGTTCATCTTAATGTTACTCACTCACTCGCTCGCTCACTCATCGTCTTGGTCCCCAGCGATGTATAACGTCGCATAATTATAGTTATGGAAGAGTAAGATTGACGCTAAATGTTAAACGTTGAATGTTTAAAGCGATCAATGCGCTTAGCTACACTTCATTGTGGCTAGTTCTCAGGCATGCCACTTGAATATGAAGAAACAAATATTTCAAATAAACATTATAGGCTGAAAAATCCCAATTGGTGAGAAGCAGACCAGTTGGCTATTCACAAGCACAACTTAGTGACGCTTTCCTCACCTGTGATTAGAAGGCATGGTATGATCAAGTTTATGTAGTAAAACAGTGCCAGTCGTTGTATTTGTAGAGTAAATGTCACATCAGGGTAAGGTTCTGGGCAGCACACATAGGAGATCACGTTTCTCTTGGCTGGAAATCCGATGAGCTGCCATTCGCCGTTACTGACAAACTTTTTCGTGTCTGCAAATGGTGCCTCTGGCAATATGTCGACACGAAAACCATCGTATGTCCAGGAACCAAACTTTAAATTGCAAACCTGTTAAAAAGAACGAAATTAAAGTAACTTGAAAAATGAAAGGTATATTTAAACCCCCGTGTGTTGTCCTAAAGGGTATGGTTTTTAAGCCATTTTAATTTGGTCAGACATAGGCCAATTTTGGCCATTTTGGTAAATAGATGTAGGGTAGGGAAATATCACAGTTTTTGGTCTTAAATAGGGTCAGGCTTTTGGGAAGTGGACCGTATACCTCCATCCAATTTTTCTGGGAGTGCTTCCCCCCCCCCCCGTGATTTAAACGATGCGTGAGAAAATCTAGAGTAGAAAACCCTAACCTTACCTAAGGACGGTGCTGAGCTTCCCTATCAGCGATTAGTCCTCGTTCTTTGATACAGTGCCTCAATTTACATTTAGTTATTGATGTTTATCATATGTATTTTGTTAACCACGCACGAGGAACCCTCTTGTAGAATATCGGCCCGAGGTCTTGTCAGCACGGACAGAGTGCATCGAGGTGCGTACAAAAGAGACCGAGGGCCGATATTCTCCCAGTACGGTCCCGAGCACGCTTGGTTGATAAGAGATTTATCACACTGCTGAGAATGTTAGGAAAAATGCCACGATCATAGCCTGGGAAAACGTCATAAACTTTGAGCATGCAATTCTGATTGGAGCCGACCAGACGAATACTCAAGTCTGAAACGGAATAAATGGTCTTTATGTAAAGGCAAGTTCTTTCGGAAACGTAAGCCATAAGAGTCATAAGACTACCAGAAGATCCGGCTTCGAGATTAATTGTGTGGGATCGTTCGGGATAGTGCCCTGTCCAATACTTAGAAAATATTGGACCGGTAATGGAGCAATCTGATTGGGTGATTTTAGTTGCTAGCAATCTGAACTAACTTAGTCGTGTCAGGATCCCATCATTGGCTCCTGTCGTGTAAAAATGTGCACGACAGAGACACATTCCCACCTGAGTATCAAAAGGAAAATACTTGACATCCATCTTACAAGAGCTGTACAGGATGACTGGTGCGAGCCACTTGTTGGTGCCAGACGAGTCGACGACTATTTGCGTTTTGAATTGATCCATTCCTCCCTCGCGTTCATGGTCAGCACTAAAAGAGGAAAATTCTTGAACAGGTTCTAACTGGGTGAAAGGTTGTGGGTGGGGATAACTGTCTGTTCACGCTTCAGTATTAGTTCATGTGGCATGTTTATCGGCTTTAAAAGGCTCGATGATTTCATGTGCCACACATAAGAATAAGAATACTTCAACGACCGAGTTTTGACCTTGTAAACAACCACGAGTGTCGCAGTGTACTTACTACTCAAGCGTTTTTAGTTGGCCTGTTACAATAAAGGTTTTATTCACACAACAGAAAGTTATTAACCGCATTGTTGAACAATATTGTTTAACACAAGACCATACACAGACACGTACCTACCCCTAAATAAGTTCAAGCCTTGCCTTGTGCAATAGTAACACAAATTAAAGTAATGCATGCAATTGTTTTCAAGTGAATCAGGTAACACACGAAGGCGGTATGAAAGTGAGAACCATGCACCTTGTACAGCATGATGTGACAATCTAATCAATATAATGTTTCCACTGGAATAGTTTTCATGAAAGTGACAGTAAGCAATGTTTTTCTTTAGTTTTGTCTGCAGACCTTAATATTAAGGGTGACCTAAGGAAAAGGTATTACTTCGCAAAATAAGCCAGATAAGGGTGCGTAGCTCTCTGTCTAAGCCGTTTTGTTGGAATGAACATCAAAGAGCTACATTGCATGATAGAATAAAAAGTAGCTGTTTGAAATTAGCTTCTGAAATTAAATTGTTAGGTGAATTATATAAAAATCATATATGCAGTATGAGTAGGTCTGATAACTTACTTATTGTATAAGTAAACATCCGGGATCCAGACCATTGATGGCTCAACATTGATGGATTTTATTCCTCCAAAGTCTGATTCATTCCAAACAAGGAAAGGATTTTTCCAGACCTGAAAGAATCAGAACGTTGATATACGATTGACCTCAGTGAATTCCTTGTTCCTACACAGGGCCCGAGTGAAGGCTGGGTGGCCCCATGTTTAGTGCACTCGACTCCGGATCGAGCGGTCTGGGTTCGAGCCCTGGCCGGGTACATTGTGTTGGGTTCTTGGGCAAGACACTCTACTCTCACAGTGCCTCTCTCCACCCAGGTGTATAAATGGGTACCGACGAATTAATGCTGGGGGTAACCCTGCGGTCGACTAGCATCCCATTTAGGGGGGAGTAGAAATACTCCTAGCCGCTTCATGCTACAGAAACCGGGATAAGCTCCGGTCTGTCGGGTCATTTAGCTCGTATACAGACTTAACCTTACACAGGGCCTTAGCCAGACGAAAACTCTTGTCAAGGCAATATCAGAAAAAAAGGATCATCTCTTTCGTGATGCATATTTATTTTTTTAATACATAGCCTCTTACAAGATTCTAATTAAAGAAATAACTTTTAAAATTCATGTTGCAGACGCAAAGATTGTTATTTTACTTTATTTTTTTACATTGAACTGAAACCGTTGCATGGATCACTAAATGAAAACACGTGGATTTTCACCTGTCTAACCCATATGCTGGTCTGCAAAAGTTGGTTCTTTTCATCCTGTATGAATTATACAACATTGTGTGTGAGATTCAATAGTCAACAGTACAATCAGCTAAATAATGCGAACCTATTTCTGACCAAAACGGCTAAAAATCATACCCTTTGGGGCCGCACATGCCTAAATAGCCGTGTAAGAAAGTAGCCCTCCCCCCAGGATAAGTTATAACAGCGCATGCTGAAGAGTTAATTGTTTCCAATTTTGAAAACCTCATCATTAATGCACCAATGAAGCAGGGACGAGTAACAGGTGAACTAGTAAAATGTTCATGTACGGGTCACTAAATAATTTACTGCCAGCTATAATTCAGAATGACTATCCTACCACGTCAATGATTTGGTGAAGAGAAATTCCAAACGTGACTGTAACCACTTGCGATTTCTTCATGACAGGGCGCAGTCGAGGGTTGTGGTCTGTAAACAAATAGTTGAGCAAGCGTTGTTCGTCATCGTCGCTTACCTTCACAGATATATTGTTTGCTCCTGTTATTGAAACACACACAGTTCTGACAGTTAGCACGCGCTCGAGTACTATCTTCCACTATTTCAAGTTCTGTCTAGTCAGTAAGACGTGAAGTAATATATCAAGCACGAAAGACCGTGTTTGACCACATTTCCAAACACCGAGAAGAGGGTTGAAAATACGACGCGAAATGTGGTCAAACACTGTCTTGAGTGTTTGATATATCTTCTCAATTGAAACAAAAGCTAAGGAGAAAACAGAGAAATAAAATCGTAAACTCTATGCTAATTAAGATCAGATATCCAAACACCGTGACGGTCAAGACTCCTTTTGTCTAAATGTGCTGAATAATTAATGAGTTTGAGAAGTAGTGATGTAAGAGGTGAAGTAGCGATCAAATACACATTATATATCTAAGCGAATTCGCAAAAACATGTCCGCTAGGTTTTCGCCTGGCGAAGCCCGAATCCAGGCTAAGCCAGCGACCTTAAACCCAGGAGGGGCTCCGTCAAGGCTAGGCTGGGCACATGGCCCAATGACTGGCCTATCTGCTGGTGGCTTGCAGGGGGCCAGCTTTCAAAAGCAGGGGGGAAGGGAGGGTGTCTTTTACTGACACTCCCAACTAGCTAGAATTTGAGTTTTCAGTGTTAAATAAGCTTGATGTTGACTGTGTTTCTGGGTATTTTACTCAG